AAATGTGTTATCAATTTGAACATTTTGTTTTGTGTTTGTTTAAATCTTCCATCCATAAATTTACGTGAGGCAGGAGAGCATATATTAATGAAGTGGTCATGTGACAAAATTAATTTTGATGATTTTGAGGTCATTGAAATCCTTTATCTTAATCTTCAATTTTATTTTAAAAATACTGTTTTTTTGGCAAACATGGACCTTTGTGCACAGTGTGTCAAAAGGAATCTTTTTTTCCTCGACGCTGCTATTGTTTTAACTACCTTCACTCCCTCAGCAATATTTGTTTTAGAAAGCAAGGATTAAAATTTTAATAAAACCTAAACATATGAAAGTGAATTTATACATTTTCTTTGTTCTTGAGAATTGACAACAAAATTAATAAACATTATTTATTATATCATTTATTGGAATGGTTGGCAAAACATCAGTCAATCGATTCATAAAATATAAAATGGTAAATAATAAGGATTTCCTTATAGTTGAATCACATATTTTAATAATTTAGTAAATGTTTCTAAATTCATGAATAAAAACTTGTTTTCATATTTATTTCTTTATAAACTTATAAATGATAAATATTGCATTAGTTCTACTCGTATTAATTTTTAGAATGTTGTAAATATAAAATTATTCTTGTAAATAAATAATCTAATAAATAAATAGTGTTTAATATTCTTGATGTAAATTCTCAAAAACAAAAAAATGTATAATTTCACTTTCATCAGGTTTAGGTTTTATTAAAATTCTAATCATTGCTTGATAAAAAAAAGAAACATTGTTACAGAGTGAAAGTAGTTAAAATGATAGCAAATGTCATGGGAAAAACTGTCCTTTTGACACTGTTTTTTGGGGATTTTTTTTCAGGAACGAAAGTCAAAGTTTACCAGATTTTTATTGAACTAAAATTACTTTTAAAAAGTAGTTTTAGTTCAATAAAAAGGTTTGAACACAAAGGTTTTGCTGAACGGACCAACCACAGATAAGTGAAACCACAGTTGGCAAAATCACAGATTGTGTTCGTCTGCAACTACTGATGGTCATTGCATTTAGTGATTGTGCAGATGCTAAGGCCCTACTACTTTTAATATTTCACATGTTATTAAATTTCCAAATCTAAAAATGAAATGCACATTTTTTTTTTTTTTATGGCAAATGGTCTTAAATTGATTTTTTTCTTTTTACTTCTAAACTTAAAAAAGAAAAATGAGAATATCAAAATTATTTTAAAAGAGCCCTTCAGCAATAAAGTCAAAGTTCAAACACAGACTAAGAAGAAACTTTAAAATAATGAACACTAAGGAGAAAAAAAAGTATAATTTGAAATGGTTTTTAAATTAGTTTTCGGCTATGAAAAAAAATTCTCAAAAATTACTTTTTAATTAAAAAGCAATATTATAAATTTGTTAGAAATTATTTTGATATTAAAAAGCTTTCAAACAATGACCTAATATTTCACCAGTACCATATTGTAAAAAAAAAAAAAAAAAATTCAAAAAATCCTGACCCCAGGTTTAAGAAATCAGTAAAAAGAAAAAGATGGTGGGAGAAGGAAAAGATAATCACTAAAATTCCAAGAGGTGAGGACAATGGAGAGCACTTCCCTATTTTAGACAGTTTACCAGTTTTGGCACAAACCCTCTCATTGTTCATAGCACCCAATATTCATAGCCAGTTTCTTATCTAAATACTGATCAGGTTTAACATTTTAATGACCAGATTAGAATCTTTCAGTAAAATTTTGACTAAGTCAATGTATCTCCTTCAGACATTATGATAATCTGACTAAGAAAAGCAGATATCTGATTAATCATTAAGAAAAAAAAAAGAGGTTGATTTTATCAAACAGCTGAGCAGCCCCCAAAATTGTTAAAATGCTGACTTTTAGCAACTAATTATTTTCTGCTTTTGTTTTGTCTTGGCTCCTAATAGTAAAAAAAATTTTCCAGAGTATCTTAAAAATAAATTAATTACAAATGTACAATATTTAATCATGACACTTAGACTGACAAGAATTCACCAGGCATCTACAAAGTGATATATTTACCTGACCTCTCTCCACTAAGGCAGGAGGTGACATTAGGTCTCTTTTTTGTGGGGGTGCCCATATATATATATATATATATATATATATATATATAGAGACTTATGAGTCAAGAACAAAAACTGTCTAATCCCTGCAACCAGTGTAACACTGACATCGATATTATTACTGACCCCCAACTCCCTTAGTATAATGAGGAAGGTGCTGCTGCAAGGTTGGAATTCCCAGGACCAGGTACCTTCTTCCATCTTAAATAAGGAAAGAACAGACTACTACATCCCAGCCAGAAGGCTGAGAAGTGATGGCAACTATAAAATAACTAACTTCTAAGAAATATCACAAACTTTTATTGAGCTCCATAAGCTGAATCCATTCCAATTGGCAGATGTGACAGGTAAGGCAGGCAATAATAAACAAATGGGTAAAACCATTGGTTTCTTGTTTCTGGTAAACTGAAGG